TTATAGTAGACAGAAGAAATACTCCATAATTGGTATGTTGTTACGAATTATGATCACGTAATAATGCCTTCGGATTTACCGGCGCAAGTTATTTTGGCCACCCGTAGGCAATTACGCTCACAGATCGGACATCGCCCGAGGTCTATGAGCAATAGTATACCTATAGATATCATTCCGATATTGTATTTGCTTCATTGGTCAATAAAACATATCGTGCCAATAATTCCTAATGTCATTGTAGGCCTACTAGAGCCAATCATTATATACTGCTAAATACATTCGTATACAATCGGGATGGGACATTGTAAACTAAACCGTAAAGTAAACAGTAACACTCATACAGTTTTGGTCGTCTTTTTATAATATTTTTTTTCGATTTTGTGTAAAATATTTGAACAAAAGTGTTCATAATGTCCAATTAACATTTCCAATTTCCAATTTACATCATCGAAAAATGTCCTTCAGTAGTATTCATTGAAATTTCAAATCGTTTTTCAATATAAATAAGGTGTTATTTTTTAATTCATCCTCAATATAAACGAAGTCACATACACTAACTAGTATACTAATACGCCACGTACTAATAAATCCTATTTCTATCTATTAAGTTTCTGTTTACGCAATGCCGTGTAGAGATACCGTAAATTTCATCCTACAGCGATGTAATTACGCCGACCGTGACAAAACAATGGAAACTATTTGTACAGTCAGCTACATAAACATATAAACATTTACACAGCTTCAGAAACAGGTTTCTATATACAGGTATATGACTTCAGATTTAAAAATATGTATGCACGTTTTCATCTGTTTGGTTGCGACCATGCATACGACGTTATTTATGAATACGTGTATTCGTATTTTTAAAACTGGAAACTTATAGAAGTGTCTCAAATGTGTACTTATTTATGCAGTTGACTGTACAGCACGCTCAGGTATGTTTCTCGTTATATGTCGGTTGAACGTCTTTACATTGTGTACTTTATATCTGGTAATTAATGACAAATTTCAGGCTTTATTTTATCTACGACATTCTATTTAATTTCCTTTTCTATTGTTGTTTTGTCTTATTACTTTTGCAAAATAATTTCGACTTACTTTACTGACTACTTCAATTTCTGAACTTAAGTCGGAACTAGAATTGTCTTTATTCGGAAGGATTTCTTTAAATAATCTCGAGACAGAACTCGGTAATGGAAAAAAATATTCTATTTCAAAAAGTAGGACATTTTTGCGGATGTCTAAGGACAGTGGTCACTTCGCTATTTTAGCGAAATCATGTCAATAAATGGTAATACTTAGATGAATGGCTGCATAGATTTCGCTGAAATTTATATACGCGTAGATGTAGTTTGGAAGACACATTGGCTACTATTTTTTTTTTCATTTCGCGTGACGGAGTCGCGAGCAACAGCTAGGTTTATCATATCTACGTACATGAATGTTTGTCATTAATGTAGCTTCTAATGCCACTAGATGTAGAGTTTATGGAGGACATAAACACTTGCAGAGTGAGTTAATACATAACAACTCTGTGATTGACCGAGATAAGGGATCGTTATAATAAGATTTACTAAGTAATAAAACTTGATTGATGTTTACTCGTTTAATTTTACGTGCTTCGTTAATGTGTCATTTAAAATTAAAAATGTATTCGTGATTTTTAACCGACTTCAAAAAGGAGGAGGTTCTCACTTCGTCTTTGTGTGTTTTAATTTTTGTTCGTTGATAACTCCGCCCCTAGAGGTCCAATTTTCATAATTCTTTTTTTTCTTCGAAAGGTGTCGCGTGTCATTTGGTCCCATTTTTTGAAACATTATCGTTTGTCTTTTCGATATAAGGATGCTTCGCAATGCTTGCCGCGGTGGGGACACTGTGCCGGCCCTAAATAACAACCAAAACTTATTTTTTTCCCTTTATCGTTTTGAAAAAATCCAAAAGATTTTTTCTTTCTTTTTGACTCTAAAACATTACTTCACTTTTATTTGCTTCATCTTCAAAGACAATATTTACCAAAAAAATTCTATTCACCATAGATAATGGATTTGGTGGATCATCGTATAAGCTTATACTCATTGTTAAAAACATCCCCACATTTCTTTTTATTTCGACATCTTATAAATAAAGTTATTTAACGATCACACACTCTGAACTTGATAAAGGGGAAATTGTGACGTATTTTTTATATAACAATAGTATTGTTAGTATAGTGATTTCCTTTATTCGGAGCATTGTTACCCGAATTCAGTTTCTCTATTATTACCGTTAACTTCGTGGCTGCCTATTCAACTTATTGAGACAAAAGTAGAATTGAATTGACATCCTAGATTTGTGATTAAAGTACCAAATAATGTTTACAGAGAGAGCCCTAGAACTAAATAAATCTTAACAAGTTTTACTAAACAAAATTTTCTGGTGATCAGCCTTCATTAGACTCTTGTATGGGTCAGTTTGACATGACAAGGTTAAAAGCTTTAAAAAAAATGTAACGCCTTTAGGAAATGATTTAAATAAATCACAAGCTTTACATTGCAGCTACTAAATTTGCAGGCGCTAAAACTCTACCTTTAAAATAAATAAATTTTGAAAGTTTGAAAGTCGTGTAGTTAAATATATGTACAAGCGAGTAAGAAACCAAATATTAAATATGTAAATTAATAAGAAACTTAATTATTATTTAAACATTGTTGCCGAATTATGTGACGAAATTGAGATTTGTCAGCCTTAGGGCGAATTTAAAGTCGTCCTTATTTTAATTAATGCAAATGCTTTTGACGTAAATTTTCATGAATAATGGTTGTATATCGTTGCACTTAGTCTAAATTAAAATAAGCTGTCGATACTTTAAGTCCATTCTAGAAGTCTGTAGATAAATTTTCTTATTTTAATCGACTCCAAAAGGAAGCAGTTTCTTAATTTGTATGAATCGCATTTTATTTAGAATAAAATGCAAATATTTTTTTCTTTTAAATATATTCGACCATTAAATAAAACGTTCTAGAATTATTTTTGAGATAACTGAATATACACAAAGCTTGACTTAATTCCATCAACTTAATCCAAATTATAAACCGTCTCGAGTAACAAACACTTATATTACTAAATCAAAAGTAAACTTAATTAATTAACCTCATGAAAATACGTCAATAAATATATTTTCTTCGAAATATTCCCATCTTCAATCAGTTATGAATAAAGTTAAGTTTACTTTGATAACAAACTCCCAATAAACAAAACAGCGCCTAGATGAATTCAATAGCAACTTATACTTTCGGCTGTTTGCCTTCGTAATTCTTAATTGGGCAATGTTAATGAAATCCAACAAGTCTTAGCAACTATAAATAAATACAAAGTAAATGATCAAATTGTTCAAAATGTAATAAATCTTTCCAAGAATATAATTCATGTACAAGAACATAAAATAATATCCTCAGCGAAAATTGGTGGCTATTGTTACCCGACTACAAAGAGGGCATAATGTTTTTCGAGCGTATGTAAATTTGTTTTTATGTTTGTGAAAACACACACACAGGACGTGAGAGATGAAATTCTAAAATCTCAAAACAAATTCAAATCAAAACCACGAACAAGATCATCACAAACACTTTTTTATTACTATTTATTTACTAAAGAAAATAAAAGTTATTGTTTTAAAACGTAGATAATAGATGGCGCTATGCATTTATTAGAGCATCAGTCAGTCTAGTTTTTAAAGGGTTTTAATTCTTTTGTATACATTAACTTTAACTAAATTCATCCATACTTAGTCATTCATTTTGTTTTGGATGAGTTTTTATTAAAATAATTTGACCTCTTTTCCAATTTTTATCTATTTTAATTCACTTTTATTTTTGAAAATAAAAACGTTTTTAGCATATATTTTGAGGAAAAAATAGTCTTATAATTTTGTCCCAGTCTTTTGAGTTCTCTGAGTAAAACTTAATATGACGTTTTGTAAACAACTGACATCGTCATTAAATATTATTGCGTAATCTGTTACAACACTTCCGTAACGATGTCAACGCGACTACAACGATCGCTTTCACCTTCCTTTTCCTCTTATAAACATATAGTATTAAAAAAACTACTCTGGGGAAATAATATGAATCGAATGACGTCTTTTAAATATCGACCTAGTATTCTGAACGTCTAAACTTAGCCGTGCAATCACTTACCTTATCCAGATGCATCTAAAGATTTACGGATTTTGTATTAACGGATTTTACTCGAGAATTTCCACTAAAGCAACATAAGTATTAAAAACATATTATGTCAGGTTTTTTCAAGAATATTTAAAGGATGGCAACATTCATTATTCGCGTGTATGTATGTAATGTTTCGTCAAGATACAATTTGCAGTCTTACAACATTTTGAAAAGGTCAGGCAATTATGTTTTTCGTCATATAACTTTATCATCATTATCTCAAAAAATTCGACAAATGACTAAGGTTAAAAAATTTGCATAAAATTCTCTTCTTGCTAATTCAAGATTCGAATTAATTTGTCCAATACAATAATTTGATGCCTTGTTTGTATTGAATATGCTCCGAAATTACTTAACCAATTCAAACAATTCTTTCGCTGTTGGGAAGCTACACTATCTCCATGTGACATCTAGTATTGATAGTTTTTTTTATTTCGTACGGACATCTGCTAGTTATTTTATCGAATAATTCGATTCTCTTGATCAAAATTTATAGCCTGAACTGAATGTACTGTTTTTGTTATAAGCAATGGAGGTCAAAAAGAAGGTTAACTTACAAGGTGGATTAGATTAAAATCATCGTCTTAAAGTATTCTACACATTTTTTTTAAAGTTACATATCTAAAGTACACCATACGATATTCTGGGATCACATGATTCATCGCATTATAACCAAATGACGTCTACATTTTTACCATAATCCCACCTTGAATAAGTGATTAAAATTACATAATTAGTACTAAGAACCTTACCTTCACTAGCAACATACGAAGTAACAGGTAAGTAGGGGGAGGTGCAGAATCGCTGCGTTTGCGCAGTAGTGACTTGGGAACATCGAATGCTAGTGCTGTGAAAGTGCCTTTATACTGTGACGCCACGGTAGGTTCATTTTGTGTGAAGTTACATCATTTTTAAATCGTGTTTTGTTACTATATTGTATAATATTTAAAATTAAAGTTTTACTATGACAAAAACTTGTTAAATTTATAAAAAAAATTTACAATTTTTTTAGGTATAGCGTGCAAATGTTCAAATAGAGTATTTACTATATAAATTGTGCGTAACATATCTTCTTGGGTATGCATATTAATTTCTTTATTATTGTGACTAATTTTGACAAATTTTTGTGCAAAATGAATTTAAACTCGACACTCCGAGATAATGTTTACGAGTACAGGTAGTCATTCGGAAATTTTATTTTTGTATTACTAATATTTAAAATATCTGTTTACCATTTAGAAGTATAAGTTATAAGTATAAATCAGCAATTTTTATTAAATTTTATTCATAAAGTATTTTCCAAGATTTTTTATTAAAAGAAATTTTTATTAAAAAAGTCTAAAAGGTTGTAGGAAATTCTTTCTTTAAACGTCCAATGACGCAATTATGTAATCAAGTAAGTAGTGCAAAAAGTTCGAAACAAAGAAAAAGGGAACAAAGGGAAATAAACTCGACTTCTTTCATTCGACAGCTCGTATATAAAAATCTAATTAATGCGGTTTTTTTTTGTAATAATTTTAACAATTAAATTTACATTTGCTTTTAATCTGGCTGTGGTAATCGGATTACATTATACAAAAACAATAATATTTTTTTTGTATATTAAATAAATTTCAATACGAACTGAAGATGAAATCGTATAATTTCATTATCAACGTGCATGTCATGTATTACATCAATATTAAAATATGATGTAATGAGAGCGTCGGTGGCTCAGGGGTCAAGCACTTCACTTGCAATCTGCAGGTCCTGGGTTCGAGTCCCAACATGTACCAATGTGTTTTTCGATTTCCGATTTTACATATGTACATTTATCCGACGTTCTTACGGTGAAGGAAAACATCGTGATGCAACCTGTACATATCTGAGAAGAAATTAAAAGATATGTGTGATGTCAACCAACCCGCATTTAGCCAGCGTGGTTGAATATGGCCTAATCACCCTTAACTTAGGGTAGGCTCCGAGCCCCTCGGTGAGGACGTATAGTGAGCTGATGATGATGATTGATTTAAATATAATCTACATTATCATTTGTTAAATGAAAAGATTTGTATTGTAAGTCTCATCAATATTCACGAGTCCTTGTTCCCTTAAAAAGTACAATCGGTTGCTTTGTTTTCCAATTAGATCATGCGACGACGTATTGTTTATGACGTCAGCGAACTTAACTCTCATCTTATTGCATACGGGTTGTCTATAAAATTAATTCTGTATTAACTAGCTATCGCCAGCGACTCCGTCCGCGCGAAATTTAATAACAACTTATTACTTATTAGTACTGTTCTTTAAGACTACGCTTTATGCTAAATTCGAGGTCTATTCAGCCGTTATGGAGATACCTTCAAACATACATGCATCCATCCAAACATTCGCATTTATAATATTAGAAAGATGTCTGTTTTTTTTTTTCATAATATAGAAGTATAGAAGTATCATAATTGATAGCAATCGTATTAACGGATTTCAAATAAATATTATGTAAATATCTGAGCCCAGCAAAGTATCTGCGGTTTCTCCGGTCTTGCAGATATCCATGGGCGTCGATGAACACCTCGGTGTTCCCCCTGCTCATTTGGAACTCAAAAAAAAGTTAAAAACAAATCATCATCATCGGCTCACTATACGTCCCCACCGAGGGTCTCGGAGCATACCCTAAGTTAAGGGTGATTAGGCCATAGTCAACCACGCTGGCCAAGTGCGGGTTGGTTGACTTCAAAAAACAAATAATTTCTTTAATTTTGAAAATAATAACGCACACTGAGTTTCATTAGCATGCAGACTATAAAGCCGTGCACAGACTGTGTTTAAGTATTAATGTATTTTAAAGCGACAATGAATTCGTTAGTAATACGAATGCACGTGTATTTAACGATCCTTTGCATTTGTGAGGCCGTTGATTAAGTCTTTAAATCTATAAATAGAACATTAATACCCCCATTATATTTGACATTCGTAGGTATTAATTAAAACAGTCAAACTTGTCCTAATTAATACGTTAATAAATCGTGTTTCATTGGTTTATGTTGATACTAGCCGTCAACCGTGAAATTAAAAAATAACTTTGTCAGTAGCCTATGTGTTCTTCCAGACTATGTTCTACGTCTATGCCAAATTTCAGCGTCTTGGAGTTCAGGAGATATCAAAAAAACATCTTTACAGTTGACATTTTGTCGCTATGCCTGTACTGAACGAATAGACAAATCGCGGCCACGATTCAATGTAGTGTGTACGGAGCAACGCGATTATCACAAATCATCCATACAATATCGAAAATGTTTTGACTATTTCCTTGTGTGCGGAAGGCCTAAAGGTACAGCACGGTGGAGATGTACGAAAGTAGTAACGTTGTAACGATGACTAATGTTACAATTTTAAAGACGTATCGATTACAAATGATGTTACCGTTGGGGTTAAAAATTGGGGGTAAAGTTTATTTGCGGAATAATTAGTAAATAATGCAACATTCGATACATAATTTGCTAACAAATAAGATTATTAAATACTTATTTTATTATCATAATGTAAATTTAAAAAAATGTAATGAAAAAATGATCTAAGTTCCACCTCGTTTTGTTTAAAAAAGTATGAACATAAGTTACAAAATAAGTACACGATATTTTATTTAAGCTTAGAATATAATAAAAATACATAAGTTATGAAAACATGAGCAGGTGTTTTCTAACAAAATATGGCATCCATCAAATAATATAAACAATATTCTTTGATGAATTCTTCATGCCATAGCAAAAGCTTATTTTTTTACTCACTAAATAACTTTTAAGAAACTTTATTATAGAAGCACGAACTAGTAATTCATTTCTCTAAAGTAATCGTCTATTTTCACGGAAAAAAGCGTGTAAAAAACATTTTTGAATGGTAACATATTTTTTACGTGTCATCATCAGCTCGTTATACGTCCCCACTCCCTCGGAGGCTACCCTAAGTTAGAGGCGACTAGGTCATAGTCAACCACGCTGGTCAAGTGTGGCTTGGTTGACTTTACACATATCTTTGAATTTCTTATCAGATACGTGCAGGTTGCATCACGATGTTTTCCTTCATCTTAACAACGTCGGATAAATGTACATATGTAAATGGTACATGGCGGGACTCGAACCCAGGATTTGCAGATTGCAAGTCAAGTGCTTAACGTACATATTGGCTGTGTAAATGACTATGTTAACTTCAAGATGAAAGCAGTAGGGTTCAGTTAATTTTTAAGTATACAGTCCATTTTTTTAATAAAGTAAAAAAATCCCGAAATCTCCGTACAATATGACAACAGTAATATTGTATTTATAATTAAATACGACAAGTTTGGCATAAATTAAATTAACTAAACACAAACCATTTCAAAACTTGATTTAACGCCTCGAACTTTAGAAGCATACGCTTTTCGCTATATCTATAAGTGTGGGTGTGTTTGCGTGTGTGCGTTAAATGTCAAGATTCATTGCCGAAATGCTGACGTCAAATTAAAGGGTCCCCAGTTCAAAGTTGTTAAATAAACAATACAACACAGATGTGTACAATTTCAAACTACGATGTGAAGCAAATTTAATTACTTACTATTTGCTTGACTGTTATACGCGTTTATTATTTAATTCTTGTAAATTTTACTCGATGATTTGAATTGTTTTTAGTAAAGCATCATGCAAAGTAAGACTTTAAGCGTCAATAGTCTAATGGTAAAGGGTACGGATTTCCAATCACGAGGTCGGGGGTTCGAACCCCGCCATTCGACTATTTTCGTAAACCATATCCTAGCACAAGCCTAGAGCTTAGTTGGAACGGTAAAAGCAAAATTAGTAAATGTAAAAAAAGAAATCTGCTAATATTAAAAAAAAAATAGTGTTTTAGTCTGATTATATTTTGTGGCCGTCACAATAAGAATTCCGGCATTTTACAATCGGAACAGACTTCGTATACACTAACTGTCAGGAAATTGGGAACTACACGATTAGAAACATCGAAAAACATGACTTAAGTTACTCCTACACATAACAGTACCTACCTATTTATTACCTTTTAGTAAAACTTCCGTTCAAATCTGTCCAGCCGTTTCGGATTACCCAGAAATGAGGATTTGCGAACATCAAGACAAAAATAAACTGTATATTCGTTGCAAGCAACGGAAACAATTACGCTCATTAATTCTATAGACAGATTAGATATTCTTAAATTATATGGACCCATTACATCCACGTAAAATTAATTCTCAGCCATGGCCGTATGTAATTTCATAACATTGTAGAAGACTCTACAACTAAAAAATGTTTATATTGAAATATTTTCATTAACATTGTGCATTGACGCTTTTCTTCGACAAGGTGTCGTAAACATAAATACAAAAGCGACAGTGTAAATGATTACTGCAAACGATCCATTGTAAATATAAGTAGAGACGAAATACAAACGTGCGAGTAGGCCTTTCACTTTCAATGGCGAGTTCGTTCGCATGGCCTTATATCACTTCGGTTGCTTGTTACCTACTACGGGTTTCCACTACCGAAACACATGTTTAAAAACATACTATCTGTGTTTTTTTAAACATTAAAAAACAGAGGTAATTTACTATAGTGATTAACATCACGAATTAAATATACTACAATGATGTTCGTGTAATATTCAAATATCAATAAGCTAAAACATAAGGGCCAGCAAAAAACTAACTTAATCAAACAATATTATAAATAAATAATTGGAATAAAATGAGCCTTAAATCTATGATATTAAATAAAATATTATAAACGAATAATTTACTAAAATATATTATTAAAAGGAGTCACTTTAGGCAAGGTTCCGAAGATACTGACAGCGTACCCCCTTTGAATAGCTATACTAATTCTTTGTCCGAGGTTGCCAGCTTAATAAATAAATTGACGTTTTTGACCTTCTTTCTACTGACCTAGCAAGACGTACGTGAAAAATAAAAGAAAAAAGTTGTCGGTTTTTTTTTAAATATTAAATGTTGCCATATACTAATGTTTTAGAGATTCGATAGTTTTCAATAAATAGGCTCAACAGCCACTAAACTGATTTACAGGTATAAAGCTGTGATCAAAATAATAATAATAATGAGATTTAATTTGAAATGACATAATATAGTATTATTACAAATTAATTAGTTGTTTTAAATGGTGATGTGTCATGTAGCTGAGTAGCCTCCTCCATTGGTAAGAATGCGAACTAATAATATAGATAGAATTACTGTTAGTAACAAAAGTTGACTATGGCCTTAACATCCCTATCTTAGGGTAGGCTCAGAACCCCTCAATGGAGCTGATGATAACATCAAAAGACGCGTTTATACTTAAACGCATTTATAAGATAAGTGGGATAAAGTCTTTCTATGTATTCCACCTTACTATCAATCGTGTGTCATATTTACTACGAATGTCACAGTAGTAAAAATATGTAGATCACAAACGCTTCACGGTAACGCCGATATGCGCTTTCTAAGTGCAGTTTCACTAAATCAAGATATCAAATCGCAACGAGTCGTGTCTGCACGCTTCGTCTACTCTAACGTAATTTGTAGACGATATTATGAATAGCCATATCATTAAATCTGCATTCCGAACACATATCATTGGCTTACTTTCTTATATCAGTTTACATAATAACTTGAATATTTTAAGAATGTATAGTATGACATTTTGTTTTGCTTATAACACTAAAAATAACTAGCGGATTTCTTTTAATTTTCAAGTCAAAAAAAAAAATCCCGATGGTCCAGGTATTTGGACTTACTAAAGAAAAGATACAAATATTGCTAGAATCCTTTCATGCTGTATTTTTTTTCTATATTGTATACTAGCTGTCGCCCGTGACTCCGTCCGCACGAAAATATAAAAAACTTAATTAGTAGCCCATGTGTTTTCCAAGCTATGTTCTACATCTGTGCCAAATTTCAGCGATATCCATGTGGTCGTTCTGGAGGTCCATCCATTCAAACATTCGCGTTCATAATGCTAGTAATAGTATTGGACTCTACATTTTGTTAATTTTACTGTAAATCTTAGATTTTATTTCTTGGAACTCTGCTTAGATAAGACGCTATTGTTTTTCATGTAATTTAAATTGTAAGTCAAGTCGCGAAACACTCAATTGTAAATGTTTTGCAAAGAGGACCGATAACTTGGTAACGAAGCCGGCGCGGTGTACCGATTACGCAACCGGCCAGGCGGTTTTATCTTTTATTGAATAACCAAATAAATTCTTCATTTCACTGTATAATTAAGCCACCAACTTTACGGCACAAAAGGAAAGTTACACAAACTAAATATTGACCCAAAAAGTTTCTCGAAATCTGGAAATGAATGAAACTCGCGTTGTTTAAAGGATATCGAAGGAAATTGAATGGGGGTGTATAAATTTTTGTAACTTCGTAAGCTTTCGTTCGAAGGAAGGGATCTTAGAAGTCATGATTGTTTTAATAATGTTCTTAAACTTTTTCTATTTCTTGACAATGTTCTTTGATTTGAGATGATTCTTTTGTATAATTTTCTTTTGGAAGCATTGTCTTTAAATTGTATTCAATTGAACTGAAGGCTATTTTCAATTCCTATTATAAATGTGAATGTTTGGATGGATGGATGTTTGAAGGTATCTCCAGAACGGCTGAACGGATCTCTATGAAATTTGACATATATATAGAACATAATCTGGAAGAACACGTAGGATACTAATTAAGTTTTTTTGAATGCCACTCGGACGGAGTAACGAGCGCCAGCAAGTCGCTAATCAAAATACTTTTTATTTAAAAAATTACTCCTTCATTTTTTTATCTGTATTTTTTATTATTAAATAAAAATATACTAACGCGTTGTTGTAGAATGAAAAGATCGATCCAATAAAATTGCCGTTAAGTTTATTTTTACTGCGATAACCAATTAAAGTTGTTCGCAACATGAGTGATTTGTATACGCTTGTTAGATATTTATAATAACATCGCGTTTTATAAATTACGAAAACGAGTTAAGTGTTAGAACTATAAGCATTTTATAACCCTTAACGCTCTTTTACACTATACAAATATTTGTTTTTGGTCTATATTAAGTTTAAAAACTACTAAATTTATTTCACCGATCAAGTTATTTATGGATCTTTGTATAAGTGACCTTGAACCAAACAATCGTACAAAACTATCTTCTTTTTATATCTTACTAATATTATAAAGGCTAATGTTCATATGGATGGATGGATGTTTGAAGATATTTCCGGAACGGCTTAATGGATTTTGATTAAATTTAGCACACATATAACATAGGCTGGAAGAACACATAGGCTACTTACTAAGTTTTTTAATTTCACGCGGAAAGAGTCGCGGGTAACAGCTAGTTAACGATAACTATAAGGATTTGTTTCATTCTATCGAAGCGTCAAACAGATAGACTCATTACACGACACCGAAATATTAATATATAACGAATTCTATGTCCCATTTTCGTATCCTTAAAGGCTACAGGCATTATATAATACTACGAAGCAGCAGAAGCTAGTAATATTATCCTCTAACAATACATTTTTTTTTATAACAGAAGGGGGCAAGTGAGCAGCGGGAACACCGAGGAACAAAATATAATCAATTTTTGGGATTACATAGAGGATAAACATACAAACATTATTTTTTATTTATATATCATCATCATCAGCTCACTATACGTCCCCGCCGCTAGGAGCCTACCCTAAGTTAGAGGTGATTAGGCCATAGTAAACCACGCGGGCCCAATGCGGGTTGATTGCCTTCACACATATCTTTAAATTACTTCGCAGATATGTGCAGGTTGGATCTCGAAGTTTTCCTTCAGCGTAAGAACGTCGGATAAATGTACATATGAAAATCGGAACTCAAAAACACATTGGTACATAGCGGGATTTGAACCCAGGACCTGCAGATTACAAGTCATGTGCTTTAACCCCTGAGCCACCGAAGCTCGACTATTTATATATAGATGGAGCGAAGCCGGTACACGTTTATCATCTTAAGACTGTTGAATGTTACAATTAAATATTCTGCGATGTAAATTGATTTACCAAACATCATATGGGAACTTGCTACGGTAAAGTTATCCAGTGCATGCTGGTTAATTTAGTTTGGTCGAAGTCAATAGCTTGCTGGAATTCGACACGCCTCAAAGTTTCATATAACATAATTTTCCAAGAAGTTTATGCTTAGTTACTAAATACTAACGTATTTGATTATTGGCCACTAAGACTTTTTTGGTTTTTATAGAACTCGACGAGTCGATGGCAATGGGCTTGTTAATACACTCTTTTTTTATGACCTCACAAAAAATTAAATAAATCGTCTTGGTTTATTGATTTTATTTTATAATACTGCGAGGAAGAAAACGAATGACTTTAAAAGGTAATAATAATAATTTCACACACATTCTCGTGAAAAACCTTCCTGTTGGTCTTCTAGGAATTTATTACTTACTACCCGTGCATTATAACATCATACCTAGATCAATAACTTTTCAGGGCTGTACAATAATAGTCCATCACCGGCGACTGAGGGCTGCCTCCCCCCTAGAGGGAGCTGCCTCGGCAGCTGGCGCTGACAGGGCCGCGAATGAGAGCGAAAGCGTGCCCGTGGTCCTTCCCGATGCGTTGGAGGAACAGAGGGGTTTAGTGGGTATGCCTCCGCTATGGAGGAGAATCCCACATAACTACCGCGTCCCCCGAGTATGCATAAAGCATTCCTCTCTGGTAGAAAAAAAAAGGGAAGGAGTGTACCATAAATATAACATATGTTTTATAAAACAGCTAAGTTTAAATGTACAAAGTTATAACGTCGATGAGTCAAAAGTTAATTTCACAATCATAGAGAGTATTGAATTTTAACTTCATTGTTTACCATAATTTATTCAATTTTGGCACACTTATTGTACAATACGTTAATGGAAGACAATAGGTACTGAAAAGTTTATCAATTTATGTCATCTTAATTATGACACACTTGCGATCGCCCCCTACTCCGTTCGTGCGGAATTAAAAAAAAACATTAGTAGCCTATGTGTTCTTTCAGGCTATGTTCTACATCTATGCCAAATTTCAACGAGATCCTTTCAGCCGTTCCGGAGATACCTTCAAACAAACAACCATCAATCCATCTAAACATTCTAATTTATAATATTCGTAAGAAGTAAGATATGCAAAATCAATGGACGTTTTTAGAAACATACGCAATCGTAGTAGTGCCGACCCTCCGTAGGTAAAAGGATCGGTTGATGTTGACATACGCAATTGACAATAAACATTGGAAATAACAGATATCAGTGACAAATAACCTTTATACAAACAATGTCTTTGTTACTAAATGCGTAGTATTGCAGTGCTATAGATATTCCGACAAATGAACGGACATTCAAGTAATATATGCGCAATACCGTATAGTTAATAATTCGAGTGTCCAATATAAGCAATAATTTAGCGTACAAACTGCGTAAGGATGCAGTATCTCTTAGCTTTAACAACGATTTAGTTGAAAATATTTTTAGACTCCAACTAGCTGTGCCTACGTCTGCGCGCATAAAAAAAACTTAATTTGTAGCCTATGTGTTCTTTCAGGCTATGTCTACATCTATGCTAAATTTCATGTAGCCGTACTGGAGATTAATTCAAACAAACATTAATCCATCCATCCAAACATTTGAATTTATAATATTAGTAAGATAATACCATTGATAATAAAGCTGCGAACAGACATTTAACAATTTATTTCTCTTTATTGCAGAAAATGAAGTTAATCTTCCTCTTCGTGGTACTGATCTACAGCAACATATCGCAAGGAGCGGTGGACGTAGAAAAAACGGTGAAACAAGTAGAGAGTATATTAAAAACCAATACCCTATTACCAAGACTAACACGAGATGAAATATTACAACTACTTAATGATTTAAGAGATGAAGATGCGAAAAACACTATACAACTAAGTAAAATGGAAAACGAAGAAAGTAAACACCAAGAAATTACAACACAAACTCAGGTGTTAAATATAACAACTTTGCCACCAGCAGATGTAACAACTGTTGAAAGTACAACTAAAAGTGGTAGCACCAAACTAGCAGTAGTCCTCCCATATACCCCTCGTGATGGATCATCGTTACAAGAATTATATACAAGACCACCTCGTGTTGAAATTGTACAAGAACCTAAGGTAACAAAGAGACCACCAACTACACCAAAGTCTGCAGAAAACACCAAGGCGAACAATTTAAACGACATCTTCAAACAAGATTTCCCAGCGGAGTTACAAGCATTTCTAAAAGCGCATGGTTTGGAAGGAAAACCAGGCCAAGACAATTTTTTGTTGCCCCTAGATGGTTTTAAACCTTTACCACCTCCAGCCAAGGTCGTGGATGGATCTATTGAATTACCTGAAAGTATATTGCTAGCTTATGACTTGATATCACCATCAGATACCAAATCTACTTCAACTAAAACTAGTGTTGCTTCTCAAACTAATTTCTTATATGATCCGTTACCACCACAATATCCATTCGAATTAGAAACATCGCCATCTGAAATAAAGGATACAATATTCCCTTATGATATGCCAAAACCTAGAAAGCCGAAAGCAGTCACCGCAACGCCAAACTACGAGCCTATAGATTATGATTCAGTGAAAGTTATACCGCTAAACAAGGGTCCAAGTCCGATAGATGATGAAAAAATCATTTTTAACTTAGAACAAAATAAAAGGCAGACTAATGAAAGTACGAATAACAAAGATTCTGCCAATGATATAATTACTACAGAAGTGGCAACTACTGTAGCAAGTGAGTTTAAAGATGCTGTACCCGCGGCAGATAATGACCAGGGTGCATCGATTTCTGATCTAGAAGATTCTTTTGGAGGTGCAGCACCTGAGGTACCAGGAGATTCAGTATTACCACCACCACGAAAAAATGGATTTTATTGGATGTTAGATTGGAATAGTTTTCTTGAAGTAGGCGATGGTGATTCGAAAGTCAACATTCGTTTTGAACCAAAATTAGGAGATCCACAAATGTTTTTACCAGTAAATGTTCCTTGATATACTTTCAAATACATTAGAACATCTGAGTAGTTGTCTAGTCTGATCTGGTTTAAGTAATTCCACAGCTTTCTCTAGACTATTTTATATTCTACTCCAAAGGTTACTGCCATATTCATTGACAAATGAAATAGAAATATACTTGAAATAATATATATAAATATATCTTTACAACAAACAGCAAAATAGATCTTGTATATAAAACAAATTAGAAATAAGACTTAGAAATAAACGTTCATTCATGTGGTTGGTAAACTATTAGTAAATTTAGAATAGGTTATAGTGTACCAAAAAAATTTTTGTAAAATTTGTATTTTATAAATTAAATAATATACAAATTAAAAAGGTTTTCCTTTTCTTGTCAATTTTAAATTAACACCAGAAAACGAAGACATAACAAAGATCATACATATCACGTTATTTCCTGTAATCTCTCCAATTTAAAAAACAAGTCAGTCTACCATATTGGTTTAATACCACAAGACCCTTAATTCCTACCCAATTACTGACTTAAAAATAAGTACTAAATTAATAAACTAATACTCAATTTGTGTTTCTAAACTAATTCAATCAATAATCCTATTTGAGTATCTTATAGCAACAGCAAGAAAGTACAGTTAATGTTATAGTTCAATAAATTTGTCGCAACAAGCTGTGTCACTTCGTTGCTAAACTAAGGCAAGTTTGTGTTGCAACTTGCAGGTATTTGTTTCACTTAGCTTCACAAAAAGGTAATTGTTACTTTATACTTTGTAGGTTTTCGTTGTACGTACAGTCAGCTGCAAAAATGGGGTAGCAGACATGATATTCAATGATACGTTATTTTTGCATACCATGGATGCTTTGTTATGATTTACGCTATGTCGGTAACTATAATTATGGGCACCTTGAATGAACTCAGATATTTGACGATGTATTTGTGGAGAGTGGATGTATCTATTAATATGACATTTTTTGTTGTACTTATATATTTGAATATCGTGTCTGCTACGGTATTTCTGCTACGACATTTCTGCAGCTGACTGTACACGGTCTTAGAACTTGATATTGTTAACGTTATACCACCAAGTTATTCTTTTAATTAGGAGTTTTCTGAGGTTATTTTCAGCATCTGTTATCTGAATTTTTTCACAGCTTTTCAGGAAAAGTTTAGAAATTATAATTTAAAATTAGAAGCAACTACCTATATCTCCGGGAATAGGGTAACATTGCGAGGTTTTTGAAGGCACGAGATATCTTCCTGGAGACTTGTGAAAGCTCAGTGCAGAAGTTTCCGATGTGTTCTATTGAAGTCGCACTTGATGTTGGCCACCGAGAGGGTTTTAGTGAATAGGAATCCCACATATCGCTGCATTTCTTCTAAATGGCAGGATCTTAATAAGACCCCCCTCCGATAAAAACTTAGGAGTCTAGTTTTGGAATTTTGGACTCATTGGACATCTATCCGTGTTTTATCGCATTTTATTTGCGAAGTTAATATTTGCTTTTCGATTCAGTTCAAACTAAATGCACTTCAGGCATGCGAATACCAAATCAATACGTGTTAATAAATGAAAACGTAAATATGTATGTAAATTTTGTTTTAACATTTTAGATGTATTCATTGTGAATAATTGTCGACGCGTCACGTAATGCAAATGAGGTACGAATGTCATTTAAAGGGATGTTTAATATTTAAAAATATATATTCAGTATTGGAGTAAATTAGTATTCAGTTATGCAATTTTATTGTATTGCTATTAAAAACTGTAGGTCTTGTGCATTATTTTTTTACAATTTGAATGTTTTTGTCTTTTGTGTGGTCGTGGTATTTCACCGGGCGAGCAGGACCAATTCGTGCGAAGTTGTTAAAGCGGGCTCTACCACTGTTTAATTAAAAATTAAATTATTAAATTTAGCACAATTTAAGGAATAATATAATAAGTCAAAAACAGATATGATTCCATGGAGAATGTGTTATATAATGTTACAGTTTCTAATATATAATTACATAAAGGGCTACAACACTGCGCTCCTGACGTGGTGGGATACGCCACGTTCTTTTCTCGCGTTCTAACAACTTCAAACTCACAATATGAAAGACATAATATAAAGGAATATGCACAAAGAGTATGCGATACTGGGGTGGAGAATCATAATCGCTACGTTTTCTAAAGAGCACACCTTCAAAGGTAGAAAAACATCTTTTGATTACTCAAAAACAAGTTTATGCTAAAGGCAACTTACCTACTTTCCCTTGCTCTTGACTCATTATTTTCTTTCTTATGCCTTCTTTTGTATATGCCTGGAAACTAGAATGGTAATGTTTCTTTTAAACTTGCTTATTAAATTTCTTCTTCAATGCTACAAACAATTTGCTTCTTTTTTTTCAAGAAACAAAACTATCTCATGATTGACTTAAACCCTAATACACAAGGCAATGTAATTTTTCAAAACCGTGCAATTTTAGTTGCGTCTTACGCAACACAATGTCATAGAGGTTTGTATAAATGGACCTAACAGTAATGTTCCATTGATTTTTTCACAAAACAACTGAAATAAGAAATGTAATAGCGTAATGGTCAAATGTATAAAAATTGACGTTCCTTTATTTGCTATTGTTCTGTTATTTGTTGCATTCCTGCGCATTTTTTTCTTTTCGCCCCCCATCTTCTTTCTATATAAATATCTACTTAGTAGCCAGTACGTCTTTGACAGTATTCAAACTCCTTTGCTACCAAAGAGGTAAAATACGTATAATTTCATAACACACACATACTTAAATATTTACTAGTCCATAACATGACAGAGTATTGTAATATCCGTAGGAATATTAAATCATAATTTTCATAATATGTAATTTTGATTTACCCTTACGAGATATATTTGCCTTGGGAGAAATCTTTACACGTCCCGATCTTTTCCGCAAATTGCGCTTAATTAATTCCGTAATATAATATTATCTTAAGCTGTAATATTGTACTGCGTGTTAGAATTATGACTTAATTGGCAATTACATTTTGAGTAGTGTCTGCGGGAAGATAGAACAAGTTTGAAGCTAATCTGATACAGCGAAGTCTCGCGAGAATCCATCGGAAGTTAAGCGTGTAACTGACGTGGAGTAATCAAAGTTTTAGATTTAGTCCTCGTTAGCATATATTTAAATTGAACAGGGTTTGCTTTTCAAATTAAAAAGATTTAAAATCAAACGATGACTCTCCTGATTTACTCCTCATCTCTATTATACAGCGAAGTCTATTGAAGTGCAAAATTTAAATAAAATAAAAAACTTTTGTAGATTGCTAAAAACTTATTACAAATAAATGCTATTATTTTTCAACAGGCGCTATTCAGTTTTCAATAAAATAGTTAAATTTATGCAAAGAACTAATTTAATCATAATATTCAAGCGTAGCAATGAACTTTACCTCTTTTATAATAACATTTCAATATTAATTCCTTATAAGAGCCATAGTGAAGACGTTGAATGTAAGGCGCGTAATTTCGGATCCCTTTTGTTTCTATAATGAATTTGAAATTCAAATTTTAATCACGAAAAGCATTGAAATGATATCTTCTACTTTGACTCCGAAAATGTCAACAGGGTGGAATATAAATTGAAGAGTCAACAGTCTCAATGTACAAAATTAGTAAAATCTATTACGTTAAAATATTGTGATTACTATATTATTCATGAATTTGTTCATATACTTAAAAGTATGATTTAAATTAATTGAAGTTACATATTCAAACTGTTAAAGATCTTTTTATATCATCAGCCGACTACACGTCCCCACTGAGGAGCGCAGAGCCTAGCCTAAGTTAGGGGTGACTAGGCGATAGTCGGCACGCTGGCCTAATGCGAGTTGGATGACTTCACACATATCTTTGAATATCTTCTCAGATATGTCCAGGTTGCATCACGATGTTTTCCTTCGCCGTAAGAACTTAAATTAATGTACATATGTAAATCGAAAATCGAAAACCACAATGGTACAAGACGGAATTCGAACCCAGGACCTTATCTTTTAAAGATAAGGTTGTGTTAAAAAAGCTATAAAAATTTAGGAAAATCATATTTTACAAAACATAGTATGTCGTTTACTCTAGTCGCTCTAAGACAATATTGCGGACTCGCTTGTTACCCACATAATATATGACCCAGCGTCGCCTGCCAACTAACACATACTATGCAGTATATATCTTACATGAAACAAAGCTCTAGGGTTCGTTAAACAATTTGATTAATAAAAATAATCTTACTTATATTATAAATGCGAATGTTTGGATAGATAGATGGATGTTTGTTTGAAGGTATCTCCTCTCTCCAGAACGATTGTATGGATCTCGCTGAAATTTGGCATAGATGTAGAACATAGTCCGGAAGAAGACATGGCTATTAATTTAGTTTTTGTTTAATTTTCCATAGACTGATTCGCGGGCGTCAGTTAGTATAAATATAACTATTACAGCACAATTAGTTCGTGTATTTTGCAATGTTTTCATTAAAAAAAAAATGTTGAACGAAATTTTTTTGTAATATGCTGAAACACGAAAATGTAAATTGTTTATAAAAACAGTATGCTACCAAAGGTTTATAATTTAATAAATGTTCTGTATCGGTCGAGCGATCATAGGAAATTCAATTAAGCGACCACAAACCGGCGTAGTCCATTATTTGGTACGTTATCCAAAATATACACTTTTAAAACCGAATTAATACGAATCAGTACAACAGTAATGCAATTTTATTCTAAGAGAAAATATTTATTTGTTTCAGATCAACTTTAAAATAGATAAAATATTTTTTATTCTTGATACTAATGTAAAGGGTATCTGTGAGATAGTGGTTTATAGTTTTAGATATCTTAAATGCAATGTATTTAATTTTTACTGTTATAAAGAAAATCCGACATTGTGCCGGTGTATCGGCGCAACACTATCCTGATTAAAAGATCAACGTTTATGTCCCCTCACTAATCACTTTGACACTTGAATTGGTAACGAAATTCTCCCCAAATGATTCTAACTAATAATATCTAAAATTATTTATCTATGCATCAACCCAAATTATGTCATAGTAACTTGACTTACTATTCCTTTAACTAAGGGAACGTACCCATACTACGTGACCCGTTTAGGGGGGGGGGGG